TTAGGGACGGAGTAGGGTACGACTACTTTACGTAGAAGACAAGAGCAGTAGTACTTCTACTTATTATATATATATATATATATATATATATATATATATATATATTTAAAGGGTAATGATTTCATGCGAGTACTATGATGCAATCACTTTTAAAAATCATCTTTTGGCCATTTGTTTAATCCAAAATTTAAAATATACACTCTTTTCATTTTAACAAACAAAAAAAAAAAAGAAAAAATTGAAAACACAATTTACAAGTTATTTTTTTAGTCCAATTAACATAAACCGTTCATTTTGGTGAGATCCTTAGATCTAGGCCTTAGAAGGATTTTTTCATTTCTAATTTTTTTGGATGGTTTTATTGTCATTAGATGAACAATGTTAAAAAATAAAAAAATGATTTTAAGTTTATAAAGGCCAATATCTTGAAATTCACAAAATGAATGGTTTAGATTTTTTTTTGGAGGGGACTCATTTTGACCATATCTAAGGTTCAAATTGAACTTTTTTTTTTTTGTAGAATGTGCGTACAAAATTTGAAATCATACAAATACCACAAACATAATTTTCTAAAAATGCCGTTGCATTATACTATGATTCAACCGTTGCATTAGATCATTACTTATGTTTAAAAATATTAAATATACCGTGACTCAAAGTCGACCAAATCAAACACCCCTACCCTAATGGTATACAAAGAGCCAAGTCAGGTGGGGTGGGCATGGAGGCCCATAGTGGATGAAAGTTGGTTTGGTCTACAAAGAAGGGCAGTTTTAAAACAGTGGTACTTAGTACCTGGCAATGTCGAAGTTGTTTTAGTAAAGCAAAGATTTCCTGACAAAAAGATGGTGTGGTGGGCTCTTCAACCGATGTGTTGAAAAAGCGCACCTTCCTTGTTTTGTCTTTGCCTCCCTCCTTGCTTTGAACTGTTTTGAGGCAACAATTGAGCGGTTTCTTTTTAGTTTTATGGCTTCTCTCGACAAGGCAACGACACTCAAGGGATCATCTTTCCTTTATCAATAAATCCATTCCCATCGATTGCCTAATAATTCCATCACGTTTTTGGTGGTTTCTTTTACGCAATTGCCCAATGTTACTACTGGGAAGAAGCTCATCATGCATAGGTCGATGGCTTGAGTTCTTTACCTAAAGAATGACTATTATATAGTGTCAGTCAACAGGAAAAATGTTTTATGCGACCTGGCCCGGCATTTCTACATATGCGGTCTAAAAAGTGTAAAGCATTCATTTTAAATGTGGATGAAAATAGGTGTTCCATCTAAAAATAATAAAAACTAATGGTCCAAATATTTTCTTATTAGAATTATTATTTTAGCTTTTAAATTTTTTTTATTTTTTCATATTCACGATCTCCATGGTAGAGATTTCATGACTTTAAAAATTAAGTCTTAAAATCTATCTCAAAAATAGATTTATTAAAAGGCCCATATTTCTACATATGCGGGCTTGGCCACATAGAAACTGGGTCCAAAGTATTATATGCCCTCATTTGATACTGAACAAAGGTTTACTACTCTTGTAGCAATGTAATGTTGATTCGCTCCTTTGGGCAAAAGTCCAAGTTTGGAATGTTTTCTAAGTATCAAAATTTGGGGATGTAAACTCTATAACTTAACATGGAGCCTCATCACCATTTTCGCCAAAGCTTTTTTTTCCAACTAATTAGGGTTGGCTGCATGAATTATAGTCTCCAATTTGCTCTGTCAGTGAAGCTATAAGTCCTCGTATCTTTTTTAACTACTTTCAACCATATCCTTTTGAGCCTACTTTTTACTTTTTTTGAGCCTTCCATTTGAACTAACTAACATCTCTTAACAAGTGTTGTAGAGGGTTTGCGTCATATATGGCTAGCCCACATAAGTATATTTTATCTCATCTTATCGCTTATTGGTATCACATATAAATTGTCCTGAATGTATTCATTTCGAATTCAATATCTCATTGTCTTGTCACTCATTCATCTCAACTACACTCAGTCTATGGGTATGTTGTTTCTTGACCGTCCAATATTCCACGCCATAAAGTAAGTATGGTCTGACAACTATCTTGTAAAACTTGACCTTCAAATTCATTGGTATGCGGTGATTATATAAAATTTTGGTTGCACATCTTCACTTCGCCCAGCTCTAATTTTATGTGAGATATCTTCTTCAATCTCTCATATTTCCTTGATTATCAACCCAAGATATCGAAAGTGCGTTCTTTTTGGTATTTCTTGACCTTCAATCTTAACGATTTCCTCATCTCTACTCCTATTATTTCTAAACTTGTATTTCATATACTTTATCTTGGTCCGACTAATTTTAAAACCTTTATAGACATAGGTGAGCTGGCCATGTATAGTGTAAACCTAATATAACACCATTTAAGAAGTGTGATTTTAATCAAGTGGAAGGCTTTAAAAGGGTAAAGGAAAGACCCAAAAAAACATGGATGGAAGTACTGAGAAAAATTATAGTTATATATGGTCTTATTGAGGGTATGGCTCTTGATAGAGCAAAATGGTGGAATAGCATTTATGTAGTCAACCCCCAATAGTCGAGATAAAGCTTGGCTGATGATGTGATAAAAATTCAAGATGCTCAAAAACTTCAAATCTGTATTTTTTTTCTTTTCTAAATAATCATCTAGTGATACTTGGGTCCCAAATTTGGAAAAGCTTTTTATGTTCCCCCATAAAAGTTTTATCCTTCCCCTTATCCAACCATCCATTTTTTAATAGAAGGCTAAGAATGCCCCAATCACAATGTCACATCTCTACACTATGTTATTTATTTATTTATTTTTTATAAACTATTTTGACTTCAAATTTTAGACGTCCATTCCTCTATTAAACTTGCACTAACGAAAAATATAAAAAAAATATTTTCGATAAAATAAAATGATCAAAATACCCTTGAAAGTTTCAAGGGGTATTTTGATAATTATTTTTTATCGAAAAATTATTGTTAATATTTTTTATAGGTCCACCCCAATGAGAAGATGACACGTACCAAATTTCATATTCAGAAAAATTGTATTAAAAAAACTAAAAATAAAATACTTTGAGACGTCAGATCTAAGATTAAACGGTGAGTAGCTCTCTTGAAAAAAAGTAGACGGCTGGATGGTTAGGGGAGGATAGAATTTCTATGTTGTAGGAAGAACATAGAAAATTGTCCCCCAAAATTTTAGATGAAAATATCCTAGCAAGTTGCTCTTTTGCCCGACGGAGTTGTTGTATAATATACTCCGTTGTAATAGCAAGTTACAGACCTTTTTCTAACATATGGGATGTGACGGCCGCAGGGGTGTTGTATGCTCCTTCCAAGTGAAGTGGCCTATGCCACTCATCCCAATCCTTTATGTTAACGTAGGTGGAGTGCTAGAGTTAATGTGGAAACCGAGAGCATCTGGGCCGCACTGCACCCCCTAAATATTAATTTTTAAGATTAGCTTGGGCCCAGCCCAAAATCTGGCCTATGAGGCCCGAAGCTGAGAAATCGGACGGGCAGGATAGATCTAGGCCTTTTAGAAATGCAAGGAAAACTTTCATTTAAAAAGCTTATGAAAAATTTCAAATACTGTACGTTGACTAAAGCCTGGCTAAATAGACTGGCCCTAAAGCCCAGAGGCCAGTGAACCATTAGCACCCGTACCAAGAGCACGTATTGTACGGATTCAAAGATAAATTCTCTACTTATTTTTGAATAAATTGAGAATTATTTTTTAAAAGAATTTTCAGGGATACATTTTAAAGAAAATAGAAACGTTTAAACTAAATAGAAAATAACAATAACAGTAAAGTTC